AAGTAAAGTTCAAGGACGCCTAGGCCTTTTTCATATCACATTTGTGCCGTGGGATTGTCGACAAAGTAATGAAGTCGATTTATATAACAAATTCAACTTTGTTTCATCAACAATCCTGCCACATAAATGTGATACGAGAAAGGCCCAGGCTTCCTTGAAATTCACATCTGGCCTGTGACCCAAGAGCACTCGTTTCAGTGCTGCGCAGTGATTAATATTTCAGGATTATATGCTGCCTCATGCGGGTTCTAGTCCCGTTGCGAGTGCTGATAAGACCTAGGCGAAGTTGAAGCAGCAATCCGCCCAGGATGAGAATACCTTATGGAAAGCAACGCTACATAAAATTAGATGGAAAAGTGAGATCCATTCATCTGATAGTCGGACAATTCAATGATTATGTCTTCACTACCTTAATTGAAGTAGAGTGAATTTTAGTCTGCGTAAATACAAAGGAGCTTTTTTCATCCTAGCTGTCCCGCATTTCATATCTCTCCAATGTCTCAATAAAGGATTCAAAAAGTGAACGGGCGGAGACAGGGGCAAGCATTACCGTCTGAATTAGTGTATAGATGGCATGGAATATAAAGAAGGATTAAATGCTGTTTGATGTATGAAAGTGCATGCTGCGTGCTGGACAAAACGTAAATGCATATCTAAAAACAATGACCATATATCATAAGCAATCTCTTATCTGATAATTAAAATTAAGGACTTACCAGGATTACAATAGCAATGCTTGGAGGCCTCAGAGCTGAATGGAGATCCCGACTTATTTATAACTAGGATAAACCTATAAGCATATTAGACCATTGTAAACTAATTAGTAAGCCGGTATGCGCATTCCATAAACTGGAAGATGCAGTCATTCTGATGAGTATATTAAGCTGTTTAGTATTTTGAGTCAATTTCATAAGAGAAACTCAGCAAACATGCCAAATGGAGGTGATGCAATTAAGATAGAATTTTTATATAAATGGGGGCCAAGGAACTGCTGGGAAGCATTGAAATCAAGTTATTATTATTCATTGCTAGTGTGGAAATATCACAAGTTCGAGATACCCTTAAGAAAATCAGAACAAGTTTAAATATGTGGATATGATAATATGCATATATCTCAAAAGAAAAGCACACACGGAGCAACCACTAAAAACGAAAACATTAAATCCTATTCAAAATAAGTAGCATCTAAAGTGGCAAGATTAAGAATCCATCTAAGCCTGTGTGCCTATCAAGAAATAAAATAGGAATAAAAATAGGGCTTGATCTTTTAAAATAAATTATGTTCTAATACAGGTGAAGGAGAGCAGGGCTTAGGGCTCTGAGAACTCACAGGAGGGAATGAAACAGCAGGAGTGCATTGCGAGATAACGGGGATTATTGTAACGCCGGAGTGGCCACCGACAACAGGACAGTTGACTTTACGCACGTCCAGATCCTGATAAGCAAAAAATAATAAATGATAAGGATATTTTAATGAAAACCGTCGGTAGGAATCGCTGGCGTAAAGAACCATCTCCGCACAAAGTATAATTAATTATAAAGGCTGTGTAAATCTGGGAGAAAGGTAAAAGAAAATTCCAAAGGAATAACGAAAGGTATTTTCAAAAGTTTTCATATTTTCTAATAGTTATTGAATATGAAAGCATGCCCAGCTTGTAAGCCTATATGGAAGCCTAAGTATGAAATTCGGATTCGTACATATTTCATTTCAAAATACACTCCTTACACCAAGATATTTGATCATTCACCCCCATAGCAGCCACCCTCGTCGCTTCAAACGATCTAGATATAATTTAACGACAGAAATGTTGAAATTCACGTTGATAAATTAGTTTATCAATCTTTTCTTGGATATAAATAAGGATGGTTGGGCTTGCTATTAAAGCCGATGTTGTAGAAGCCTCCTCGCTGAAGGACAGTATAGATTGTAATAGACTAAGGCTAGCGGAAAACATATTTATATGAGCTTAGAAAACAATTTCCTGAGACAACCAGAGATATAAATGAACATCGAAATTATGGATTACGTAGTATACTGTAATGATAACACCGTATAACGCCAGAAATATTGGATTCGACTCAAACAGGTTGACCTAGAAAAAACTGTTTAATAAGCAGTTTTGTCAAACACGAATTGGGCCGAGAATATGCGAAATACAGATGCGAGAAAAGGTAACGGGATTAACTTATTAAATGCCGTCACTTGCACATCATTAATAAATAACCAAATGGCCCAAAGACGCACGGTTAATAACCAATTGAACCAGTGGTTAATTGTATAAGATGCTAAAGTTATATTAGACAAGATATAAACTTATTCTAAAAATAAGACTTGGAAAATAGTGTCCTCGTCAGACTGATCAGCTGAGAAGATCCCAACATGCTGTCATGAGTAATTTAGATATCTTAGAATGCAAAATCATTGTGCCAGGAAAGATTCAGGATGCTTATATAATGCTAACATATATGCATTGATGATTTAAGGGGTAATTTCGGCATCAAGTGTAGTACTAGACTTTGGGTAGTATACCATAGTTCTAAAGGCGGCTGATAGTCGTTGATCTAATCATATAGGATAATAAGTTTGAATCATGTTGCTTAAGGTTTAAAGACAATAATTATTTTAGTCAGCAACTCCCTGTTTGAAGGAAAATACAAGATAGTAATTGGGCCGTTGTCATTTGTAAAAGCTATTGTGCTGGGTGACGTTAAAGAAGCTATAGAAACCAAATAACGTGCTCACCTTAGCTTCCGAAATAAATGCATTAGAGCGAACAACATCAAGCGTGGTAACCCCAAATAATCTTTTGGGATCGTAACAGCCTGCTTTCTTTAAGACCTCAGCTGCAATCGGTACGGTGCTATTCACTGGATTGGTGATAATACAAATAAAAGCTTTGGGACACGCTTGAGCGCACATATTTGCCAACTTAGCAACTATTGAGGCGTTTACGTTGAAGAGGTCATCACGGGTCATGCCTGAAAGGTAAATATAGCAGATTAGGCAGGAAAACAGGTATCGGCCTGATATGGATGTGCGCGTCAAGAATACTACTTAAAAAACTTTTTAGAGTAGATGCTAGTCATCTAGCTTATTATAGTGTGTAAATAAAAGGATGCAACGATGTAATCACTAAACCCCAAAATGCAAGTAGCTTGATTAGACTTGATAGTAAATGCTAGCAACACTACTCACCAGGTTTTCGAGGAACGCCAGCTGGTATTATTACAATTTCAGCACCGGACAAGCAAGATAAGAGCTCCGACTCGCCATCATGGGCCGAAACTTTCGGTCTGGTTTCGATATGGCTCAAGTCAGCAGCCACTCCTTTAACGTGAGCAATATCATATAGAGAAAGCTGCGTCACAAGAGGAGACTGCTTTAATAAGAGAGAAAGTGGCTGACCGATACCACCGCTTGCGCCCAGAACAGAAACTTTATTCGAAACCTATTAAGTAGAGGAGTGGTTTGAACGATCTTAAGCTTACATTAATAGAAGTCGAAAAGCATCTGCCTGCTAAAGCCGTACGCAAAAAATTAGAGAACAGAGAGGAGGGAGGACGCATCGCAGAATGGGGCGAGCAACAATATAACTGGTTGGCGAGCCAATATTAACAAACAAGATTTAATCTCAGAGTGACATAAAATATAATTATAGATTTTTGTAATACATATTTAATGATAGGTTAAATACTTTCTTATTCTGCTTTTTATTCAAAACTGTGCTTTAGGCAGATTTGTATGCTTAAAAGGTAGTAGACTATTGTTCTAAGCTGTCCTGATATATGCCTAAGCATTATAAAAATCTTTTATTATCCAAAATTTTGCATTTATCATAACAGAGCTTTTAATTTAATAGGCATGGCTAAGGCAATATACAATTTATTGGCTTTCATTTTATCCTTTTATAGTTACTTAATTAAAGTAAAATACTTAGTTTATAAGTCAAAATGCTTTAGAGCCTTATAAAGAGAC